GACTCCATGTTGGTGACTTAATTTTGTTGGTTATCCCCCCCCCTATCCTATTGGTGACCCCCATCCTATTGGTGACCCCCTTTTGTAAGATTCTGTCAAAGAATGCAATGTATTGTCTCCATACCCCCGCATTAACCAGGATTAAATTCTTCACGTCACACACTCCCCTGTCTCATGTCATGTCACCCCCCCCCCCCACCCTCCCGTGGGTCACTTAACCTCGTATTGTCGCCGCTACGTCCTGTCTCTGGATGCGCCATCCGTCTAGCTACGCGTTACTCAGGCGTGAACCAGCAGGAATGTGGAGAATCCCTCCCCCCCCCCTTCCAGCATTCGACTCTTCTGTCCCAGGAAACGTGAGACCCGCAACCTGACGCGCTTTACATTAGACTCTTCTTTCATGACGCCGCGTCATAGTTTTCTTAAGGGGGGGGGTAGGTTTAGGGTTCGGACATTGTCATGAAATTGATGTTACTCTCCTTCACCTGCCTACAATAGTTTACCTGCCCTGCTACGTGTCTTCCCCCCCCCTCCTCCCACATCAGAATGTCTAGTTACTACAGAACCAACCCAATCCCCAAACACCAGCACAAAGACACTTATCATAAGACACCACCCCACACTCCCCCCCCCCCCCCATATACAAACTTCAAGGCATCACCCCACCCTAGACTACAAGAAACACCATCAAACACCCCCAGACACCACCCCACCACCAGATACCAACAAACAGCCTCCGGATACCAACCCTATTTCAACTACCCCAACCCCAAAACCTCCTGTGACGTAGATGTTTATAAAGTATATGTGTAGGCACGGAGAGAGTGTGTGTTAGAGTGGCCTCCCCATGAAAGTGGTGTGCGAGCGTGAAAATAAAATTGTAGACGAGGCAGTGTGTGAAGAAATATGGTGTGGTGTCAACAGTGTACCTACTGGTCTATTTTCTTATTGTTGTGTTTCTTGTTGTTGGTGAAAATTACCAGTAAATTATACAGATTCTCTTCATGGACTGTGTTTATTTACAATTGTTACACCCGACTCCAACGAGCCCAAAATACCTAAGACGCCAAGTGTAACACTCCAACCCACATTTTGCCCATTATAATTACCCAGTTAAAAAGCTGAAAACTCTCTATAATTCTCACCGATCGCTCAATACATTGATCTCCATTACACCTATTTGTAAATCGATCTATCGATCAGAAACTTGTTACCTAATCAGGTGAAACCTCAAGCAGAATACTTGTGTCATTACTAAGTGGTGTTGCCTATTGACTCCTACCCCCCCCCCCTCCCCCTCACGTCCGCCGGCCCTTATACCTGGATATACCTGGAAATGTCGCCACAAAGTTCCCCACTTTCTGCCAGTAACGGGAACAAAAGTCTTGAACCGATACCTCGGTCACGCCCGAGTGACGGCGCTACCTGTTACAGGGGGCGGTACCTGGGGACGGCCGGCAGCCATGTGATCCTACAGGTGGCGTGTGTGTTCACTCAACCGTGACGGCTCCTTACCTGGCCTGTGTGTGTGTGTGTGCCGACACCGTTTCACACCTTTGCTTGTGTGGGTTGTGTATATATATATATGTGTGTGTGTGTGTGTGTGTGTGTGGTCACAGATTCACGCCTTGGCTTGTGTGTGTGTATGTGGGTGTGTCAGTTTCATGCCTTTGCATATGTGTGTGTGTATGTGTGTGGGGCTACACAGTTTGACACCTTTGCTTGTGTTGGTTGTGTGTGAATTGCAAGTGGTTGTACCTGATGTCACATCATAAGTGGAGGTGAGTTGTTGTCACCTTATGACAAGTGTGTGAGTTGTGGTCACCCCATGACCAGTGTGTGAGTTGTGGTCACCTTATGACTAGTGTGTGACCATTTCATCATGCCTGTGATCTAGTAATTGTTCTAGGGCGTAAGTAGATGTAAGAGGTTGTCACGTGACACGTGAGATGTCATAACTGACTAGAAAGAGTGAATGAAAATACTACCTGATTTACCTGTGATTGTACCACCTGTATACAGGTGTAAGTAAACATATCTATCTAATTTTATGTTTTTACGTCCTTTATTCTCACATGTATCCAACATTCGCTCAGTTGGGGGTCGTACACATAGCTAGTCTAATGGGTTGACACTGTAACCGGATACGTCGCTCTTTGCGAGATACATGCAAGTAACTGAACATGTATTAAAGTAGTAAACAGAAGCTGTGTTATGTGTCTATGTTGGTAAGGTCAGTTAGACACGACTTTTATTACTGGAGCAAATTAAAGCTATTTGCCTAATCGGTCGAGCTAACAGCCACAAAATGTATTCAAAGATTTCTAGAGCGACGAAATATCTTTCTTTCACTATTTCATACAAATAATAAACCGGGAGTGATCTCCCCTAAACTTTCTCGAATATTCTAATATAACACTACGTGGGATGTCAACTCGGAATATAGACATGATTTTTGTTTACTTAAACTTTTAAAAATAGAATAAAATGTAGTAGAAAAATCTAGTGCGCAATATTATTAGTACTTTATAAATTTACATGCTTTTTTTGAGAAATCGGAAATAGCGTAAATTAGTACTTCCGGTCAACGGAAATTACTCAAAATTTGATAGAAAGTAGAGAATTAGATCTTTTACTTACATGTGAAATTTCATTTATCTATCTGAATTAGTACTCAAGTTATAGGCTTTTGAAAAATTCAAAGTAGAAAAAGTACCACTTCCGGTTATCGGAAATCGCTCAAAAGTTGATACGGATCTACGATTTTGATATAATACTTATATATGAAATTTCATCAACCTAGCTGTAACGGTACTCAAGTAATCGTGTTTACACACAGACACACACACAGACACACACACAGACATACGGACAAGATTGCAAAATTATGTTTTTCCGTATCAGTGAGGTGTAAAACGTCGAGATTTGTAAAAATCTCGATTTTTTTTTTGCACGATTACAATACTTTCTCTATACTACGTATATACGAGAAAGTAAAAATCATGTTTTTTTACAGTGCTGTCAAAATCTCGTTAATTCACGGTTTTTTTTACCTGTCCTATTTTTCTTAACTCTATCTGAGACCTATCAGTTGTTGTCAAGTTAGCAGAGATGTGAAATTATTCACATTAATGTGAAAAAATCGCATCAAGCTTTATCTGTAGCTTTAAAAAAAAAGTTTCTCTATCTGTAGGGCACTGGGACATGGTGTAAGCTTTCACCTGTGACATTTGATGGATGTTTTTATGTCTTCAGTGTTATAGTTGTGTTGCAATTAACAACACGGTGATTGGGGGTGGGAGGGGAGGGGGGTAGTTCTAGGATCTGGCACGGCATTTGTACAGGAGATGTATACAAGTGCCCATTATGTTGGGTGGGACAAGTGCCCGTTCTTTTGTCCTACCCCCAACCTACCACCACATAAGTCTCAACACCTACCTTCCTAACCCCCTCTACCCCCATGATCAATTGTTAAATCCTCATTTAATTTAAATTATTAACAGCCACTTTAAATAGACTAAATTTACCCCTAACTATTTCATAAATTATAGCTTTTTATTTAATGAAACTTAATGCTTTCTTACATTTCAATTATTTCTACACGACGCATATGCAAAATGTAACAGCTTATAGAATTTATTTCTTGTTTGTCACAGTTCATAAACAAGTTAATTAAAAAGTCTAGTGACATTTATGCGCAATTTCCTTATGTTATCTAAAAATAGCTCTGACGTATAATGCTGGGATGCGTTCAAGCTAGAAGAACGATCGGTTTGTAGGTGTTTATGTAATTTTAAAATTTGTGACTAAACGAGAGGATATTTTTGAAAACTTTCTTCGGCAATATTGTTCTAAATTATGGCAGGAATCGATTGGTACATGTTTCAAGTCGCTAAGTCGTCTGGTTGCCGAGATATGGGCCAAAAACTGCATTTTTTCGAGGTTTTTTGGATTTTCCGGGAAATACATGAAAGAAATCCGGAATTTTTATGGCCTATGCTCATTCTCGTAACTTGCTTAACATAATTGCTTTTGGAACTAGTCATCGATATTGCTTCGTTGAGGAGGAGATACGACTTAAAGCCCGGACACACATTCATCCATACATTCATTCATCCATCCATCCATCCATTCCCAGAAATGACGCGTTAATAAACGCAATTCTCCAGAATGGAAATTGCGCTAAAAATTGAGTGAAAGGGGAGTGAATTACCTTGCCTACATTTTTGAAGATTATTTTCGATAGCATCCCTTTCCTAAAACAAGTAATTAAAAAAAGTCTAGTGACAATTTTAGCGCAATTTCCTTATGTTATCTAAAAATAGCTCGGTCGTAGCGTAAATCAAGAGCAGGGTTAGTAAAACCATTGGTTAGTTATTAAAACGTTTATTATTTTTTTTTTTTTTCAGTATTTTACATGTTTTATTTACAATAGAGTAACATGACTAAAAACCATTGCGCGCCTAGCTACCGAACGTGATGTCATAGCCATTGAACGTGATGGCGCAGCTATTGAACGTGATGACGCGTGTGGTGTGGTTGCATAAAATGCCTACTAATTCGGTCCAAATTTTAATTAATTCAAAATTTTTTTTGTGACCAAACGAAAGGATATTTTTGAAAACTTTCTTCGGCAATATTGTTCTAAATTATGGCAGGAATCGATTGGTACATGTTTCAAGTCGCTAAGTGGTCTGGTTGCCGAGATATGGGCCCAAAACGGCATTTTTTCGAGGTTTTTTGGCTTTTCCGGGAAATCCATGAAAGAAACCCGGAATTTTTATGGCCTATGTTCATCCTCGTAACTTGCTTAACATAATTGTTTTTGTAACTAGTCATCGATATTGCTTCGTTGAGGAGGAGATACGACTTAAAGCTGCGGACACACATCCATACATTCATCCATCCATCCAGAAATGACGGGTTAATAAACGCAATTCTCCAGAATGGAAATTGCGCTAAAAAATACTGACAGTAACTTTTTATTTTTCCTATTTCAGACACCTATGACGTTGTACACATCAAACAAGGGGGTTTTCCACTTGCCGTACGCATCCATTAGACAACATGCGCAGAAAACGGCGCGTTCGGAGATTTCCGATGAACGCTTGCAATATTTTCATCGTTCAGCGCGTAACGCAGGACAGGGGAGTAGTTCTACTTCACGCGGAGGATGCCTGCCGGAAGTGTCACCTGACAGGCCGGAAGTTGAAGCCCTCGGAATGGAGGAGGATCAGGATTTGATCTCCTTGGTGAAAAGTTTAGAAACCATCAGCAGGGGAGGTGGGAGGGAGCAGTTCCCGCCCAAACCCTCACCCCAGCTCATCAATGAGAAACGGCTTGTTAAAAGAGTATCTAGTCCACATTTTCAAAGACGGCCAATGACCACTGGTCAGCGCTCAGTTACTAATAATGAGAGCTCAGTACCCAATAATCAACAGATGACCAGTGGTCAACGCTCAATAATTAATAATGCGAGTCCATTGGCCAATAATCAACATGAGATGACCATTGGGCAGCGCTCAACAACTAATAATGATAGCCCAGTAACCAATCAACAGGTGACCAGTGGTCAACATTCATCCACCAACACCCCACACCTATCAACCTGTGACCACCGTCCAGTCGCCAGTGGACAGTGCCCACCATCTAAAGTTCCCCTGAAGCATCATGACCCTGCCCCCTGTCCACCCACCCCACCAGACAGGTCATCTAACCAAGACCAGGGGTGCTGTCATGTCCATCACTCGCTGTCCTGCCCAGCGGGTGCCACCCCCAGTATTAGCAGACACACTGACCCCGCACCGATCTCGGTGACCCCACAGGGTTCAAGGTCATTAACAACTCACACGGTATTCTCACCACTTCCGGTCTCCGCACGCGAGAAGTCACGTGGTTCGCGAGTAGAAACCGATTTCGAAAATTCTCTGGACATTTTAAACCAAATACGGCTGGGCATTGTGGATAAAAATAGTAACGGGTTTTCCCATAACAAACACGAAAGCATTGAGCAAAACTCTGAGAAAGAGTTGAACAATGCGAATAAATCTGGAACGGTTAACTGCAAGAATACGGCTTCAGGTGACATGCGCAGTGGAGGCAATACGGTGTGTGAGAACAAAAAATGTGATACCAGCGGCGTTTCTTCTGTTTCGTCCGCCCGAATCAAGGATAATTCCGTTCCGGCAAGAAATGGCCGGACGGCGGCCAAACCCGTGGCGATGAGGTCCAAATCTCTGCACCGGGACACGGAAAAATCCGGCCACGACGACGATTTCTGCAGCCTGAGCGGCAGCCTGCGCGAGCTGCGGCACCTGAACATCGACGTGAGCCAGCAGCTGGTGGACGGCCAGCGGGTCTACGTCGTCCGGAACGGCTCGCCCGAGATGCAGGTCATGGTCAACGCGCTGACCCCCGTCCTGTCCAGGCGGGGGAGGACGCGAAACTCGGCACGATTTGCGCCTGAAGCCGACCGTGACAGCAGCGGCGTCACGTTGTCACGTGAAGTCCGTGACAGTGTCGCACTTTCGTCACATCCTCCAAAGACCTCGGCACAAAACACCATCACAACACCTCCTGAAATAAAACCAAGCCCGCAGGAATTATTGCCCATTTGCCGGAAGTCATTGTTTCAAGTTTCGAATAAGTTTTCTCAACGAGCTGTCGCGAACGACGAGATCTCGAGAGATCCACCGGTGCGCTCAGACGACGAGCTGAACAAGACCACGTGCTCTGACGACCTGTACGAGGAGCTGGAGAGGGCCAGAAAAAATTTATTCCTGCCTCCGAAACTCGCTCACACGTGGCACGGTACTTCCGACACGTCACGTTTTCGCCCCTCCCCCAAGATGGGCGTGGGCATGATGCGGGGGGCGCCCAAAAAGTTGTCTGGCCCAGCTCCCGCCGCCCCCGCCACAGGTTCGCCGTTCCAGAAACAGTCTCAGACGCTGCCGGTCATCTCTCGGACACTGCTGGACGCCATGCACAAGCGGTACTGCTCGCACCAGTACTCGGGCCAGCTTCAAACCTGCACGTATCTCAGTCTAAGCCCCGCCTCCTACTCGCGTAAGCAGCCAATCACAGCCGTCTGTCTGGAGACGCGCCCCGCTCGCGACCACGAGGTCCACGCCGCCCCGCCCTCCCCGCAGGTCATGGCCCGCCTCCTCAAGCTCAAGTCTGAAGCAGACTCAAACGGCAGACAAAGAACTTTAATCAAACAAAAGTCTGATACAGACTCAAATGTCTGCCCTCGGCCCATGGAAAGCTCCAGATCAGAAGACACATCACCAGCACTCGCTCATAGACCCACAGACTGGGAAAACCAAATCAATGCCATCAAAAGTGACCAACCAATCAAATCTCGCCAACAGAACGAGAGTTTCGCGGCGCCCCCTGGCGGACATTTTGTCGACAGATCCAAGACTCCAACACCCGAGTCATCCCCGTCCATTATTGAGGTGAGTCAGTCGTTTGGTGAGTCAGTCGTTTGGTGAGTCAGTCGTTTGGTGAGTCAGTCGTTTGGTGAGTCAGTCGTTTGGTGAGTCAGTCGTTTGGTGAGTCAGTCGTTTGGTGAGTCAGTCGTTTGGTGAGTCAGTCGTTTGGTGAGTCGGTCGTTTGGTGCGTCAGTCGTTTGGTGAGTCAGTCGTTTGGTGAGTCAGTCGTTTGGTGAGTCAGTCGTTTGGTGAGTCAGTCGTTTGGTGAGTCAGTCGTTTGGTGAGTCAGTCGTTTGGTGAGTCAGTCGTTTGGTGAGTCAGTCATTTGGTGAGTCAGTCGTTTGGTGCGTCAGTCGTTTGGTGAGTCGGTCGTTTGGTGAGTCAGGCATTTGGTGAGTCAGTCGTTTGGGGAGTCAGTCGTTTGGGGAGTCAGTCGTTTGGGGAGTCAGTCGTTTGGTGAGTCAGTCGTTTGGTGAGTCAGTCGTTTGGCGAGTCAGTCGTTTGGCGAGTCAGTCGTTTGGGGAGTCAGTCGTTTGGTGCGACAGTCGTTTGGTGAGTCAGTCGTTTGGGGAGTCAGTCGTTTGGGGAGTCAGTCATTTGGTGAGTCAGTCGTTTGGTGCGACAGTCGTTTGGTGAGTCAGTCATTTGGTGAGTCAGTCGTTTGGTGCGACAGTCGTTTGGTGAGTCAGTCGTTTGGCGAGTCTTTGGGCAGTGTCAGCTCTTTAACATAGACGCTATCAGGTGTGTGCGAGGTTTAAAGGTGTCAGATCTTTGTTAAGATTTAGACACCATCAGTCCCAATTATAGCTTTTCAATTTATTTTTTATTCTCTTCTTCTCTAAAGACAATTGTGCTTGGAATATATATGGTAATAGCGAAATGTAAAAAAAAAAAAAAAAACAACAAAACCGCTCTTCACTTTGTACTTTCGGAATTATTTATATAAAAACCCTTATTCCCCCCCCCCCCCCCCCTGACCTCCCCACCCCCAAACCTTGAAACACATCGAATTTTAAGGAAACTTATGTCTGTTATTTTTATTCTGCTTATTTATAGTATGTTTAAAACTCACAATGTGCTTGAAATAGAGTTTATGCTATGGGTTAGTGGCAAGTGGTATAAAATAATGTTAACTTGCGGGAAGTGGGGTAAAACAGCGCGAACGTACTTGAAGTCAACACAGAGAGGGGGCAAAGTGCTCGTGGTGTTTGGCGTTGATGCGAGTCGTGTTTGACTTGCCGCTGTAGCACAGGGCTGCCCGGGGGTAGGCCATCATACACGGGCCCATCCGACCCACCAAGGAGGGGGTGGCCCCACCCATCACAGGGGGGTTCATCTCGCACGGCTTGACCTGGTGGGGGGTCGGCTGTCGGGGCGCCCGCTCCTGTATCGTGATGCTGTGTTGTTTTTGGTTCAGCTCCCGCGCCGAGGGCACTGGCGAGGGCTTTTTCTCGGTCTTTCTTCTGTGGTGGCTCGGGCACCCCGCGGGTCGCCCCACCCGGGCTGCTCGGATGACGCCGTTCTCGCTGTTCCATACATACTGTTTGACCGCGACGCTCTCCGCGGGTGGTGTTTTCTTGACGGCTATGGTGATGGTGTGGTCTCGCTCAGGCGTGCTGATGACCTCGGCCATCTTGCACTCCCGCATGTAGTCCACGGTGAAGGTGTTGGGCGTGTCGTAGCACGGGCGGCTGTTGTTGCCGACACAGTACGTGTACGGCTTCTGGCGCCCTCTGGGGTACTTCTTGACCACCACGTGACCGGGGCTGGTCTGCTGATGTGAACAGGTGTCCGCCTCGCTCGAGCTTGTTGAGCTGTGGGTGGTCGCCCGGCCTGACCTCTCGACATCACCTGGGTTGACCGAGCTACACGCGCAACTCAGTGCCGACCGTTGGCACCTCGTCGTCTGTTCTAAACAGGTGTGTTGTTGGCGATGTTCATCTCTGGGTTGGCTTGGTGCAGTAGAGTTGGCGCACGAATCAGAACACGCCCTTGGACACGCCCCTGGGCAAGTCTTTGGACGCGCCCCTGAGCATGTCTTTGGACACGCCCCTGAGCATGTCTTTGAACACGCCCCTGGGCAAGTCTTTGGACACGCCCCTGAACAAGTCCTTGAGCAAGTCTTTGGACACGTCCCCGGGCAAGTCTTTGGACACGTCCCCGGGCAAGTCTTTGGACACGCCCCTGGGCAAGTCTTTGGACACGCCCCCGTGCAAGTCCTTGGACACGCCCCCGTGCAAGTCCTTGGACACGCCCCCGTGCAAGTCCTTGGACACGCCCCCGTGCAAGTCCTTGGACACGCCCCCGTGCAAGTCCTTGGACACGCCCCTTGACAGGTTCTTGAGCAAGTCTTTGGACACGCCCCTGGACACGTCTTTGGACACGCCCCTGGGCAAGTCTTTGGACACGCCCCTGAGCAAGTCTTTGGACACGCCCCTGAACAGGTCCCTGGGCAAGTCTTTGCACACCCCTCCATACACACCCGTGTACTCGGGCACGAGTTATGTTTAGGTGACTCGCGATCACTGAGCCGAAACGCTCTAGGATAATGCTGAGTGCTGACGCCTGCTTTAGGACATTGCTGACCGCAGTCCTCAGCTCTAGGGGGACAATGCTGACCGCAGTCCTGTGTCGGGGTACAATGTTGACAGATGGCTTGATAACGAGGTCTGGACTTCAGACAGGGTTTAATTTCACAATTCTTGCTGCCCTCGGGGCTGGGCAGACGCCTCGAGAGGGTGGGGCTGGGCAGACGCCTCGAGATGGTGGGGCTGGTCTGGGGGGAGAGCCGTTTGATGTGGAAGTGGTTACCTTGACCTTGCTGCTGGGTGCCGCTCGTCTGCCGCGAGCAATAGAAGGGGTAGTTGTCCTGCGACAGTTTCAGCTCCCGGTCTCTCTCCTGATCGTGGGTGATCCGTCCGGTCGTGCTGACCTGCGGTACGCTCGGGCTGTTGGACGTCTGGTTGAGAGACAGACGCCGCTGACCCTCTCCGTCTTTTGGTTGATGGTCCCGCTCAAATACTGCCTTCACTTGAGATGTATTTTGGCCCAAATCTAAGGCACCCAACCCTCGTAATCCACTCCCTCGTAATTCCGACTGTTGAATTTCTGACTCTCTAATTCCTGACTCTCGTATTCCTGACTCTCTTATTCCTGAGTCTCTTATTACAAATTCTCGTATCCCTGACTCTCGTATCCCTGACTCTCGTATTCCTGGCTCTCGCATTCCCGACTCTCGCATTCCCGACTCTCGTATTCCTGACTCTCGTATCCCTGGCTCTCGTATTCCTGGCTCTCGCATTCCCGACTCTCGCATTCCTGATTCTCGTATCCCTGACTCTCGTATTCCTGACTCTCGTATCCCCGACTTTCTGATCCCTGACTCTCGAGACGGATCGAGCTTTATCGAGAGTTGGGCGACAACGTCACGGCTCTCGGGGTTGAAGATCTTTTTGCCGGACTTGTACTTATAGCTGTAGTCGTCTGCCGGCTCCCCTGGGAGGTCGTCGATAAAGAGGGGGGCGGGCAGACGTGGGATGCTCCCAGTCGAGCCGCTGCTGGGGTCTGGCTTGTTTCTGTGCTGGGTGGTGGTCTTGACCCGGTACACGTTCTGGCTGCTCGGGCTGACCTCGGACTCCGACAAGTGATCCACGGTGTTACTCGCAGCTTTATCCTGCTGGATCAGTGTGTGGTACCTGCTGGTGACTCTATCCTGCTGGCTGAGTGTCTGGTACTGGCTCAGTTCTCGGTGGCTGCTCATGGCTCTATCTTGTTGGCTCGCTGCTAGGTGCTGGCTCAATGTCTGGTGATTGCTTGCGCCCTGTGTCTCACTGTTATCTTGAAGAGATGCCGACACTGGTGCTTTCCCGAACCTGCAAGGGCAGGGTTTCTCTTCTAGTGAAGTGTCTCCCAGCCGAGCGGTTGAACTATATCTTGTCTCCAACGGGATGTTGAAGCTTCTCTCTTCTAGGGACGCCTTGCGCGCTTCATCTGGCGCACTGCTTTTAGCATTCAGCGTACACGGGCATATTTTTTCCTGAGGGTCGTTCTCTTGGTTGCTGGACTTTCTCTCCAGCTGACTGGGGAATCTGTTGGCCTGGGTCATCTCGGGCGACTGGAACGCCACATGGGGGTGGAAGGATGACCGCGGTGACCGCTTGTTGAGCAGGGGCGTGCGCTCGGGTTGTGGGTCCTTGAGGGTGACCTCGAACGCCACGTGGTTACACGAGCAGCCGATCTGGCACTGGCAGGATTTGTCCCTCGCCAGTGGCTCGGCGTCTCGGGGATCCTCGTCGTTGATCTCGTGGACCCGGGCGTCGCGAGACAGGCGGGACATGATGCCCTGGGGCTGGTTGACCGTCTTGACCAGGAAGTGGGTGTATTGACATTGCATTATGGCTCACAGCTTAACGGCGTACTAAGCTGGCGGTGCCCATTGTCACGTGACTCGTCGCTCTGGTCAGTGGACTCAATGTTACATCGTAGCTTCTGTACCTTAACTTCCCTTCTGAGGAGATAAAGGGATCATCATAGAAAAAATACGGCACCTAACCCCCCCCCCTCACACACAGCAATGCACCTAAACCCCCACAATGTACTTCACCTACCCCCCTCCCCACACGCACATAACATAGCCCTGTACCTAAACCCCCACACAGCAATGCACATAAGCCCCCACACAGCAATGCACCTAAACCCCCACACAGCAATGCACTTAACACCCCACACAGTACTTCACCTACCCCTTTCCCCACACACACATAACATAGCCCTGCACCTAAACCCTCACCCAACACAGCACCTAAACACCCACACAGCATCTGATACCCTATGCTAATTTCACGGTAGCTCACACTATCTAGTAACATATCGTTTTCTAACCCACAGTGTATCTGAGCTATCTCACCAATCTAAATGTGTGTTCAACAGGCTATATCACCTAACTTAATGTGTACTCACCCACTGAAACCAACTAATTTAAATATGAGGTAGCAGTTTGATGGATGGTCAGCTTAGACCATTTA